GAGTCACCTGCTGGACAGCTGATTGGCGGCTGGGGAGAAGGGCTTGGTGGCAGGGGACCCACGCCTCCACTAGAGGGTCTCGCAATCCTACTTCGGAGATTTTTTTTAATGGACAAAGTCATGTTTTTCTGCATACTTGAGGTGCCTTCCAAGTATATATAACCTCCTACTACTCTACACGGTGGTGTGGTTTTTCTGCTTTCATGACTGGCACAAGCCACCCACTTTATTATTGTTATTATTATTATTAGAAATAATGAAGGTTCTGCTTCTACCCAAACTTGAAATTTACAAAATTCTACATCAGCCTCTGTTCATTACTGCCAGGGCCTAATTGCATATGTGTTTAGGAGGGAGCAAACAATTTTTTACAGCACAAAACAGACTGTGTGAAATTATAGGATTGCAAAGAGGATCCCCCCCCCCCGGAAGGTATAAAGGCAGGAAGAGCTGACAAGTGGTAACTTGTTCTTGCTTTCTAAAGTAGGCTGGGTTAAGCTAGAACCACTGCACAGAACCAGTCTCTCCGTATAGCTTAAAATCTTCACTCAGTCACTGTGGTTGGGCAGTGTCCTGAGGCAACAGGAAGACAGGAGTCAGGGCAGGCGGGCAGGCAGCTGACAGGAGTCAAGGTGTGTAGGCAGGCCAGACACAAGCAGGCAACAAGGTAGGCGGGCGAGGCAGGACAGGTACAAGACAGGCAGGAGTAAGGAAGGATAGGTATGAGTCAGGCAAGCAGAACTCAAGCAGTCAGTAGCCAAGGCAATGACATCAAGCATTATGGAAGCTGTTGAACCAGTAAAACTTCCATGCTGCTGTAGCTTCATATAAGAAGGTGGGATCCTGCACTTTCTAATGACCTGGTTAAAGTCCCTGGTTCTGTCTAAAGCTACTATACCTCATCTCCTTCCTAGGAGAGACTGGAGAGAGGCAGACCCCAGGCTGCTTATTGTGTGTTCCTTTGTTGGGTCTGTCTCTGCCCTGATCCTCCTTCATCTCCGATCCTGAGGTTCTGGAGAGACCTCTGGAGGACCTTTCATGGTGTGAGACCTTGGCAGGGCTCCTGTAGCAGCTCCAAGTCATTGGAAGGTGCCAATGGGGTATGAGTGTTTCCAGGCGGTTCCTGGACTGGCTCACTATCATTGGAAGGTGCCCATGGGGTATGAGTGTTTCCAGGCGGTTCCTGGACTGGCTCACTAGGGGCGGAGGCCACAACTGGTTGCTGTGGCATGATCACAGGGTCCGCCTGCAAGTGCTCAAACGGGCCTGTACTTCAGATATCTCAGGTCCTGAGAGGGTCTCTTTATCATCTGAAGAGTCTCCCCAGTGGAACTGAGGCAAATCATGACAGGCAGTACCAAAATGCTTTAACTGCCCAGAATTTCTTCAAGATGTGCCATATGAATCCCTGAGAAGTCTGTATCATAGACAGCGTAGCACTCTAAGTAGTCTAGAGGAAGCCTCTAGCTTAGCCTTAGCCTCTGTATTCATTCTGCATTTATTATATATTATTAAGATAGCCAACTATGCTTATCTTCTCCAGCCTTCAGCATCAGTACAGAGTCTGGATCATAGTGCTCAGTAGGATGTCTCAATCATTTAGTGCGGTCTTATATATACTGAGCCACATCTGAACCATGCATCGTCAATACCACATGTTAGTTCTCCAGAATCAGTATTGCTGAATTACTGGCCTACACTCAATTTATCTAACCAGAAAGCAGAATTAGCTGCATTGCTCTTAATTGCAGTAAAGACCTTGATCGCCCGGCTTTGGAAAACAAAAAATATTCCAACAATCCAACAGTGGTTTATAAAACTTTGGGACTTGGCAGTTGTGGATAAATTAGCTTCCCAAATAATTATGGCAGAATTACTGACAAGTTTTTCGAAAAATGGTTCCCCTTCTTTGATTATGTCTCTAACACAGATAATAAGAGTAGTCCGCTACCTAAGAAATATGTTGATGTGATGTTTTATTCAATAAGTTAATGTTATTGTTAATAGTTAAACTACAATATTGTACTTTGTTATATCTAAGCTATTTGAATAAGAATAGTCAATATTGGTATTGTTGTGAGTTAAACATGTTTTTGTATTATGTTTGTTGGTACTGAAAATTAATAAAAATTTAAATTAAAAAAAATACCATGTCCCCCAAGTGTAGCCATGGCAATGTATCACTACACACAATGCTCCTTGGTAGTGTTGCACATCAACTGGGATAGACAGAAGGGGAATTGTGCAGGCAAAGAGCCATAACACCCATGCCAAAGTTCTTCCAGTTAAGATGGAGAAGAAGTGAAATTTATTTATTCATTCTTTATTAAATTTGATTTTAAACCACCCTCCCCTGGAAAAACAGGACTCAGGGTGGTGTACAACATAGTATCATATAAACAGCATTAAAGACAAATTAAAACCCATAAAATACAGCAGTAAGCAAAAAATGGTGTTAAAAATTTTTCCTAATGGTGCAACTGGCCTCACAGGGAGGCATGGGGTGGCAGTGCCAGAAAGATGGAGCCATTGTTGTCCTCAACCAAATGCCTGGTGGAACTGTATCAATGAAGTAACCCAACATACAAAATGGGAAAGTGTTTAATAATGCACCGGCCTTTGTTGATACTGGCACATGGAAGTAAGTGCATCAGTCATTTGTGGGATCAATCATCCTCATCTTTACTCAGTTATGACACTTAAACATAGCATTCAAGCATGCATAGAACTATTTATGTTCGACAAAAAAGAAAAGAAGCCATTTCTGTCCTGGTGGCAACTTTGCATATGTTATATTTCAAATTCCACTTTTTTTTTTCAAGTGTGAACTCCAGTGTAGTGTAGTGTAATGGTTAAGAGTGTCAGACTAGTATCTGGGAGACCTGGATTTGAATCCTCAAATGCCTTGGAATCTCGCTGGGTGACTTGGGGCCAGTCACATTCTCTCAGCCTAACCTACCTTACAGGATTATTGTGAGGATGAAATTGAAGGACAGGAGATGATGTAAGCCACTTTGGAGCCCCACTGGGGAGAAAAGTGGGGGTACAAATGAATTAAATAACTAAATACATTAAAAGACATATCCAATCATGTGATCTCATTTAATCAAGGGAGCTATATACACATACATCTCCTAGCAATGGATCTGACCTGGTGTTCATCCAATCCAGTTTCCTGACTTTGCCATTGGTCAGATCGATGTATGTGTATGGGTAAAATGTCAGAAGAAATATTTAGAATGGTGCCGGCTGTCGAACTTTTTGTAAGTTTTATATTAAAATAGGTCACCAGATTAAGCCAAGACACTTTTGTAATCAAAACAATAACAAATAATATTGTTCAGATTAATAATTGAATATTGCACATGTGTGCATGAGTACACATGTACATACATATATGCACACAAATATACTGAGGAAAGGTAGTCTTTGACTATAAAATCCCAAAAGTGATTTTAATGACCTCAACATCAAAATAAAAAATTTACAACATAGCCATTTGAAACATATCTGTTTAACATGTGGGCTGACCGTAGGTCCATTTATTCAGAAGAAAATAAATTTCTTCACTGAGCTCAGTGAGGTTTACTCCCAAGTGGAACCAGGACTGCAGTCTCAGACAATCAAAGAAATGCAAACTTACCTGACGATTCTGCCCTTTGGCTGTGTAAATCCAGCATATTGCTAGGAAGAAAAAGAAGAAGACAGGAGGTTTCATCTTCATTCCTTTACTGAAAAGAGCCCTGTGCTTTTAGCAGGGGATGTGGAAGATGCAGTTACTGTAAGATAACTCCACCTACTAAAAATCAGATCCAAGAAAACCCAGAAGTTAAAAGTAAACAGAGGAAAAAACGTATTTGCATGCTGCAAATCTCTCATTCCAAAGTACACAACAGCAGCATTATTTCTACCCGTAAGCAGAAATCAACAGAATATCTTTTAAAGAAAAGAGCACAGAGGTAAAAAGATAACCCTGAGCAAGAAAAGTTTACTCAAAACAGGAATGTCTACGGATTTCCTCTCACATCTATCAGTTCAAAACAGATGGAAGGAAATCCTTTGTTTTCCTTTGCGCAGAATGAAATAAGCTAACAGTATGTAACTGTGAGATAAAGCTGATAGTGTGAACTAAATTTGTTATTGATCCTAAGGGTACATGAATGTGGAATTATATTTTTAATTTTTTTTATTTCTAATGGTAATGTGCACGTATTTGATAAAGTTGGCACCGATCAATAGATAGTGTGCTATTTTAACCTGCATGAGATGAGCTTCATAAAAATATTAATGTAGAAATACCTTGAACCATTTTCAAGTCTTGTTAATACAGCTAGATTAATGCCTAGTGTTCTGTTCAGCAGCACTGGAATAATAACGTACTTAGGGGCTGACTTTGTAGCTGAGTTTCTATTGCCAAACACCACTGGCCAGAAACGCTCCTCCCTGCCTCCCCAAAAGTCTTTGTATGGTTTGATAGTTGATGTCTGTATATAATTAACATCTTGTTCCAGTAAACTGCTTAAAGGTTAAAGAGTGATTATTAAGCAAATCAGTTCTAAAACATTACTGCAATGAAGCTACACAGTTGATATATGTACACATGACAATAGCAGTGAAAGTAAGCTTGTGTGAAGTACCACTAAGAAAGTGGTTGAACTACAATCTCCTGTCTTCTGCTTTGATATTCCCCCACCCTGAGACAAATAATACCGATGACAGACAGATAGATAGAAAATTTACTTTCACCTGATGCATTACAACTGATTGTCCAGGATACAAGGACCCACACAGCAATTCTACATCCCCAAGGGAATTTAGGAGCATTTTATTTTGAGCAGCTACTCTTCCCTGCAGCACAGCAGATGACTTTTGAAATCGCAAGGATTTTCTCTCCCTTTTCAAAATCATTCTTTACTGTTGAATATATTTGTTTCCCTCATAATAGATCACCTTGACTACTACCTTTGATGGAAGTGACACACATCCTGACGAATAGGATATTCGCTACCAGAATAATTTGGAGAATTTGCACAGCTACTATCTATGGCCCACTAGTAGCAAATGCAAAGCATATAAGAAAGCAACATCTGGTCATATATATATATACAAAATTCTTTATGCATGTATTTCTGGATGTGTGTCATTGTGAAATAAAGAATATTGACCACTGAGGAAGGCCCAAATGGGCCGAAACACATATGGTCCTTAGGTCAGACGTTTTACTCATCAATTGGATATGTATAACTATCAGCTTTGATTATATAAGCTTTAAGAGTCTGATATTTAGACTATTTCTTTTAAACACATGTATGTTTTAGTTATGTGTACACCCTAATAAATATTTGTATTTTTTATATATTTTATGTTAGCTTGACCCTCTTAGATCGCAGGTTCTAATCCACTCTGCTTTGTTTCCATATTCACCATACAGGTCTGGTTATCACAGAAGTAAAAAAAACCCACTGGGTGTGTCATATATATATTTCTGTGACAACTTAGTGCTTGTTTTTAGTCCTTTGTAAATTACCTTGAGAGCATCCCTAAAAGGTGGGATACACAATTCTAAAATAAACTGCTACAGGACTTTACAAAACCACCAAAAGAATATGTGGAACATCATTTTCTTTTTTTATTGTTTATTTTTTGTACATTTCCCCTATACATGTTGTCCTTCTTTTTTACATTTGTACATATATTTTTAGAGTCTAACATCATTTTCTAATGATCCCCATACTTACATAACCAGAAAAGGGTAAGGCCACCAAAATTGCTTATACTACGTTGTATCCTACCACTTTGGTCAGCTAAGTGCAGAGCTCTTCTGTGGAAGAATTCCCTCTTCTACTGAAGAAAAGCTCCTTAGGGTGGAGGAAGGCTCCACACATAGCTGAGTGAAGTAATAGGATGTAACCCACTTTGGTCATCCATATGTGTGTAGAGATTTACAAGACTTGATGGGGAAAAGGGCATGAAACTACTGGGCATGTGTGTTAATGGTAGACTCTTCCATTGACTGATGACAATATAGTCTGATAGTGAGAGTACATATTTTGCAATAACAGGATATGGACTGTGCAAAAGCAAAAGAACATTTTCTTTTTGGCAGCTCAGCCTAATGTCCTGCTATGGCAATCTCATCCTCTTCTTTCCCTCACGCACAGGATTCTCTTTCTTTCTTTCTTAGTGGCCCCTATATTTATTTTCTTCTTATTTGTTGGTCTTCCCTCAGGCAACTTTCACCTGAGGGAAGAGACAAAATCACCTTTTTATATTCAATTTCTGAAATGGCACATGAGAGGCTTTTGAAAGTTCAAAATAAAATGTTTGATTTAACTTAGAAGAGAAAAGGTCAAGTGGAATCAGGGGTAGGATATATGAGGTGAACCAGTCATAAAAAACTGAGGTAACTTTGTAATCACATTAAATCCGGATAATATATTGCCAACAAGTAAGTCTTTTTGCTTTTCAACAAGATCTTTGAAACTGATAAGAGGCTTTCTTTTCAGTGTTTGCTTAAGCACTCAAGCATAGGTTCCTGAGTTTCACTGACTTTTAAGGTTTAGAAGGCGGAAACATACAACCAAGTTCCCAGAATCCTTCTATATACACAGACCAGGGATCACTCTTCAGTTTAGAGCTATTTCCCTTTCCACTGGGCAAGGATTACTTCTCTTGACTAGAAGCTCTGTCCCTTTTTGGCTTGAATGGGGATCCACTGTGATATACTCACTCCTTCAGCCTCTTTCCCAGTCCACAGTCAGCGCTAAATTGTCTCTTCTTCAACTGTCAGTTCTCAGCTGTCATTTCTTAACTGACACGGAATTCCATTTGAACAGCCTGTCACTCAAAGGTTCCCAAATTTTTGTGAGGCATTAACCCTTGACAGTCTGTCATGCCTGCTAAGAGACCCTTTAGTATATTTGTAAATTAACTCAAAAATTAGTTGTAGGAAATTGCAGTGAAAATGGCAAACCATGTTATATGGCAACTGTCATAGGAAAACAACTATGTCAAGGGTAGGCAACTTTTATGCCCCAAAAGGCAAAAAATAAAATGAAACCAAACTCAAAATGACCCAAATGTCTACCTCGGAAGATCCTGGTATGCTGGCAAAAAAAAAAGAAGATGGGGGATTAGGGTCGCATTTACCTGCTGCCTGACTCCTGTCATCTCACAATTAACAGAACGTTTGCCTCTGAATGTAGAGACCCTCATTCTGTTATAATAATAGCTAGCAATACAATCCCCCATAAATCTGTTCAAACCCCTTTTAAATCCATGAGCCAATGGCCATCCTATCTCTTGGTAATGAGTTTTACAAGTCAACTCCCCACTGTGTAAAGCTTCCTTTTGGCTCGCTTGCATCAATTTCATAGGATGACTCCTTGGGTCTAACCATTATGGGAGAACAGTCTCTCTCCACTATATACCATTCATGACTTTGTAGGTCTCTGTCATGTCATCCCTCAGTCTTTTCTTTTCTTTTCTTAAAAAGCCACAAATTCTTTAGCTTTGCCTCATAGGCAAATGCTTCACCCTCTGGATTGCACTGATTGCTCTTTTCTGTATTTCTTCCCAAGTTTTCAATTTGCCTTTTGAGATGTGGCAATAAAAATGGAAGATTTGCATACTGCCTGAACCTTGTTTATTTAGAATATTTACAAAGCTACCTTTCCACACATATGGTTCATCACATTTCTTGCTGTTGTTATCATCTTTCCACCACCAAAAAGTATTGTTCAGCTGTAAATGCAGCTTGTCTCTTCAGTAGTGGGAACTACTACAGCAGAACTGTAAGCCACATTCTGCCTGCATGAATTGCTTCCACCCCATGTATGTACATGTAAGTTATTTGGTTCTTGGGGCTCCCCCCACCCCAACCAAAAAACCCCAAGAAAATGCTTGGGGAAAGTACTGGGCAACAAGACCATTATTTTGTGAAACATTTACAGCCTTCATTTAGATTTAGGCAGTTTCCTGCAATTGAAATCTTGTGTTTATGTATTCTTGACAAAAATTAAAGACTTCCAAGACTTATGGTATACCATAAAATATGCATTACATTGTGTGGGTTTTCTGTGGTCTACAAATTCCTTAGATCAGTTCAGAAAGATTGAAAAACCCTTCATTTTAAATCTTAAGAGAAACCGTTTCTATTTGGTTCACAATAGGCTGATTGCTTAAGTTATCTGAAGCTGTGGATGAAAACAGATATAATGAAGGATGAGCTAACCAAATTGTAGCTCAACTTCATTACTGCAAAACAAAGCATTCTGAGGCAAAATTGGCTGTTGTATTTGACTGTATGAATGTGTACATGCAACTGTCTCAGGTAGTGAAAGGATCAACAACACACATCTATAATATGCTTAGGAGCAATGTTCCCTCTAAGCTCCACAGTGTTGTGAGCAGAAATTTTACCTTGTGAGCGAAAAAAGCTAGTAGCATTAAAGTTGTGAGCAAGTGTACATTTGACTATTGCATAAATTATTTTAAAAGATAATTTCCATAACCTTGTAAAAATTTCAGAATGGATTTGTTTAAACTATATTTAAACTATACTTTAAGAATAATTTAAACATTATGAGAGAAAACAAAATCAAGCCAAATTTCATTACACAACATTTTGTCCTCTATGGGGTAGACCAGGCCTTTGGAGAACAGGTCTACCTGCCCCTTGCCACCATATTGGTAGACCTGGCCTCCAGATAAGAGGTCTATCTGCACCAATCCACTATATTGGTAGGCCTGGCCGCTGAAGAACAGGTCTACTTGCCCCTTTCCAGTAGACCTGGCATCCAGAGAACAGATCTACTCACCCCAGGCCTCTGTAGAACAGGTCTACCCACCCCTTTCTACTGTGTTGATAGACCTGGCCTCTGGAGAACAGGTTTACCTGCTCCAGTCCACTATATTGGAAGACCTGGCCATGGACTGTTGCCCTGTGCTGAGCCTTAGGAAACACACCAGCACTTTGTGTGTGTGGGGAACCTCCTGCAGTCTACTTTGTGTTTTTTAGTGAAATATGACAACCAGCATTACAGGTCAAGTATAACAGAGGTGGGACAATCACTGTCAGAACCCTGCCTAACCTAACAAACAGGAAGTTGCTTAAATGCTATCAACCTGCCCAAACTACTTATTTATTCAGATATTTATATCCCACTTTTCCCTGTGACTCAAGGCAGCTTACACATCATACTGAAAAGTTATAGCCTACCGGGACCATTGTAGTCAATGGGCCCCATAGGTTATACTGTAGAATTGATTTGGGGGTATCTGGGGCTCGGGGGGCCTGTTTTTTTAGGTAGAGCTATTGCTGGTGCCTCTCCTCAAACCCCCCCAAGTTTAAAAAAAGACTGGACCAGGGGGTCCAATTCTATGGGCCTCAGTAGGAGGTGCCCCCATCCTCCATTGTTTCCTATGGAAGTTTGGTTGTGAGCTGAAGCAGAAAACATCTGAGCTGGCCTCTGGAATGTTAAGAACATGAGAACGTAAGAGAAGCCAATGTTGGATCAGGCCAATGGCCCATCCAGTCCAACACTCTGTCACACAGTGGCCAAAAATACCAGGTGCCAGCACCCCCTAGTGCAGCTTAGAGGGAACTGTGCTTAGGAGAACAACTCCCACAGTGATGACAGTAAAGAGACTGTTCAAGTTGGCATCTCTGGATCTAGACAGGCTCTCTGTTCCTTGGAACATTGCTTTATCTTAGGGAAGTTGTTACCCCTACCAGCGTAGATTTTAAGAGGCTGAATCGCCACCTTCAGTCTCTAAGGAAATTTAGCTAAATGGCAGGTCTCAGTGAGAGGTGGGGTATTAGCAAGGGTCTCCTACCAGATGGGCAACATATAGCTCTATGTAAGCTGCTGGGCAGCTCAGTTTGAATTTTAAAAAGGGCTATATTTCAAGCATAAGGACAAAATATTTCAACAATCTGCAACTCAATGTTCTACAAGTGATGTGACCTCCTCACAGGCCATGGACCTAGTGTTGTCCGTGGCGGCACTGGGACTCACCCAGTTTGTTTCGGTTCCCACACACCAAGCAGGCCACATGCTGGATCTTATCTTTGCCTCAGGGATTGTGGTGAATCAGATAACTACTGATGCAGGACCATGATCAGATCACCTTGCTCTGAAGGCCTGGTTAAACACACATAGCCCCCGCTGTTTGGGTGGTGAGCAGTTTTATGCTCACCTGCAGAATCAAATGGAACCTAGTAGGTTTCAGGAAACTCTGCAGGATCTGATTCCCACTGGCGGCTCATTGGATGAGCAGATGGAGGACTGGCAAAGCCATCTCTCCGAAGCCATTGATGAGATCGCTCCCTGGCGCCCTCTTCACCCTTGCAACAAATTACCTCCATGGTATACCCTGGAGCTGAGGTGGATGAAGCGAGAACTAAGATGGCTAGAGAGAAGGGGGAGGCAAGCCTGTGACAAAGCCACAAGAACATCTTATAGGTCGTTTATGAGAACCTACAAGATGGCAGTGAAGGCTACTAAGAAGAATTTCTATGCAGCCTCCATCACATCTGCAAGCTCGCATCTGGCACAATGATTTAGAATAATTTGGTCCTTGACATCGTTGCCTCAGGGCATTCAAAAAGCTAGGGAATCGGACATAGGCTGTGAGGCGTTTGTGAGCCATTTTGCAGACAAAGTCTTGTCGCTCCGCCACGACCTCCCGGCCACACTTGAGACAGTATGTGAACTTGAGGCCCCATGCACGTCTTCTGGTCCCATTCTGGATTATTTCTGGCCTCTCAGCCTAGAGGAAGTCGACAGACTGATTGCAACGGTACACCCAACCACATCCGTGCCCCTTCTGGCTAATTAAAGCTGGCCGCGAGGGATTTCAAGGCACCCTTAGGGACATTATCAACAGGTCCCTCTCTGGGGCCTATTCCCAGGGGCTCTCAAGGAAGTGATGGTCCACCATCTCTTAAAAAAACCATCCCTGGATCCGGCTGAGTTGGCCAACTACTGGCTGGTTTCCAATTTGCCCCATCTGGGCAAACTAATTGAGAGGGCGGTGGCGATTCAGTTGCAGGGTTTTTTTGGATGACACTTCCATACTAGATTCCTTACAGTCTGGCTTCCGACCAGACCACGGGACGGAGACAGTACTGGTTGCCCTCACGGATGACCTTCAGAGGCATCTGGATCGGGGCTTGTCTATGGAGGCCCAGGTCACTGCCACAGCCAGATCAGCCTTTTTCCATCTGAGGCGGGTCAGGCAGTAGGCCGCATATCTCACCCCTCATGACCTGGCTGTGGCGATCCACACAATGGTCACTTCCAGGCTAGATTATTGTAATTCTCTCTACGAGGAGGTGCCCTACACTCTGCTCCAGAAATTGCAGCTGGTGCAGAATGCAGCAGCATGGGTATGTCATTGCTTATGTGGGCTCACATCCACCTGGTGCTGCGCAAACTGCACTGGCTGCCTATTGAATACCGGATCCGTTTCAATATGCTGGTTCTTACCTTTAAACCCCTATATGGCCAGAGGCTCACATATCTTTGAGACCGCCTCTCCCCACATGAGCCCCAGAGGGCATTGCGCTCTGTGAATCGACATCTGCTGACAGTCCCTGGCCCCAGGAATGTCCGACTTGCCTCAACTAGGGCCATGGCCATGAAAGGAGCTCCCATTAGAAATTAGGGCCCTGCAAGGAGCTGCGGTGGCTCAAGTGGTTAAGATGCTGAACTGCAGGATGTGGAAGGTCAGTAGTTCAGCAGTTCGAGACCCGAGTGTGCCGCATGATGGAGTGAGCTCCCATCTCTAGTTCCAGCTCCTGCCAACCTAGCAGTTCGAAAGCAAGAAATTGCAAGTAGATAAATAGGTACCACTTGGGTGG